AAGACCATATTTTCATACACTTGAGATTTTTTACTACTTACCTATAGAACCGTCCTGCGTAGATACAATATTCTGTTTTTTTTTTTCAAATAAGGACCCAACTTTTTTATTGCAAATTAGTTAGTGGATAATTTTTCTGAAAATGTTAACGTATTAAAATTAAAATTCGAAAGAATAGTTTTTGAGTTTTAAATGGTTTTAATAGTATTTAACTTTGTGTACTAGGGTCCATAAGGTTAAAATTGGAAGATATGGAGGGTATGGTGATTTCAATATTTTAATGGTTACTGATTAATATTAATCTATTTACATTAATATATATAAATGATCCAAGCATAAAAAATACTAAACCAAATATTACATCAACATAATAGTTTTGTAAAACCATTTTAAGGACTATTGTCCTTTTCATAGACATTTTAAGAATTGAGTAACTACTTGTTCAGATTTAAATTAGGTAGGTACATAAAATGATTTGTATTATAAAAGGGGGTTCTCATTTGAAAAACAGAAGTTTACATATCAACGAAACAGGGGATGATCGTAGTCGGTGAATCACCCACCATATCTTTTAAAAATAAAGATAAATTATAATATTGCCTGATGCACTGGTTGCAGTTATTATAATAAAAATATTAACTAAACAATTATAAATTCGTAATTAATAAATTTTTTTTTTATTGTATCAATTACAAAAATATATTGACATTATGTTATTTTGATATGTAGCCCACACCTGTTAACTATTATCATGGCTGTAGCTGTTATTTTGTCAATATGCTAATGAATAACGCAGTTATAGACAATTTATATATTTTATTGCGAAAACCGTGTTTTAACTATACCTATAAATTACAATATTATATTAGAATCGAGTTAATAATTACTATAAACTCAAACTGATGTAAAGTATGCATTAGACACATAATTTATTCTAAATCTTCATAATATCTATCAATTATTAATGAGTTATAGTAATACCTAAGTAGATAATCTGGAAATGTATTAACGGTAAGTAGGTACCTATAGTCATTAAGTTGACACTAAACATGTACTTATTTTCGGATTATTCCTACATCGGCATAAATAATAATCATACCAATATATTTTATTCTAGGTATATATTTGTATGCTTATATATATATATAAATATATGTAACGTTATAATAACATAACTATTTATCACGCTTTTATAAGCTACGTAATATGACCAATACCTCATGTGATTTATGAGTATAGAGATGACACGCAGTAGTCTATATAACTATTTAAAAGCTAAATTGTATACATAATATGTTTGAATTTAGTAGATAATAAATATGTGTTTATTATACTATTATGTATACTGTATACCCTGTATAGGTATCATTAATTAATTAGGTAATGTGTAACGACGCCAAACCTATGTGAAATAGAGCAACAAAAATAATAATTGACACAAAACATTAAAAACGGTAACAATAATTTTTTGACTTTCATTCAGTGTTTTCCATTTAAAAATACAATAGTTTAATAATATACGAAAGTCAAAACTACATTAATAAAAACGTATACGTACCTACGTCGCACTCAGAGCAGTGTACTAAATGCATTTTCATATTTTCGATCAGATATAGGTACAAGCACGGATTAAGGGGGGCATGGGGCCATAGATCCTGGTCCACAACGGATATCGAACATAACTCATTAGTGGGCCACTGGCTGTACGTTTCCTATAATATATGGATAGTGGATATATTATTATTAATTAATATTGTTTGGCTCGGGGCCCAAAATTAACTTGAGCCGGGCTTGGATAGTTGTTGTTTCGTGTCTAAAGTCTTTATTGTAGGTAAACATGTAACAATGTATATTATAATAATATCCTTGTTTTTCTAATCGGTGGTAGTATAAACCCCTGGGAAAATTAATGATAATTCTTAGTTGAGTTAAGTTAAGTTGATACAAAACATTTTAAAACGTTTAAAGTCAATAGTTGTCCTAGTTTTTTTAAACTCTGTTGTATGGAAACTTATAAGTTATACATTGTTGTTACTTTAACAGTTTAACACTCCGAAGTATATACTTTACAATTAAGCTGATAGACAAATTCAGTAAAATGTTAAATCAACTTCTTTTATAACGTTTTATATGTTTTACATAAAAATCAGAAACGAATTAAATATTGCAGTAGTTGTCTGTAATGCTATGTTCTTTCAAATGATGTTGAAATACGAAAGACAGGTGATTGGAACGAAGAATGGATTTATATTGATTAAAACTTGTCGCACTAATGAAAAACAAAAATAATGTGTATGTAATCTTATCGGGCGTCTGACCAAGATAAGATTCGATGGTAAATTGACAACAATAATACGACAAATAACCCAATAATTATATGCGTACTGCGTACATTAAATAAATACCATTTGAAATTCCTTTCGATTTTAAATTATAATTAAAGTATCCAAAAATATGCAAAAAAAAGTTGTTCTACTCAATCGAGAATAATTTAGATCGTGGACAATATATTGTATGACAACTAACCAATTTGGACCCAAAGAAAAAAAACATGCAAATGTATAGAAATCCTAGCCCTAATAATAATAATAATAATAATAATAATAAAATTATTGTTATTGTCGATGGGATAGATATTTCGCAGTTGCTATTACGACATAGCAAAGTCATCGCTTAGTAAAAAAATACTGTCTGGAAGTTATATCTAAGTGACCAATGTCCATGCATAGGGTATAGAGCAGGGATGGCGAACCTTTTTGTATCAGCGTGTCAAATAAAAATTTTGGTTGGGTTTTGTTTTCCCTGCGCGTCAACTAGTTCGATAACCCTTCAATTTTTTTTTCAAAAACTTTATTATTTTCAAACTTTTACACATTCGTGTGTATCACTAAAATAGTGTGCGCGTGTCATAGGTTCGCCATCTCTGGCATAGAGTATGGGTGGTAATGGGTAAAGTGTAACTGGTGGCCAGTGGGTAAAACCATATTATCATTATGATATAACTACGTAAACATATTATGTTATAGATGAGTTTAGTCGTTCAACATTTATCATCTATTGATATATCGCATGAGGCGGCGGTGTTATCTATAACGTTATTACTAAATAAGCAGATAGGTATACCTAGGTAGGCATAATAGCTATACCTGCCTCATAGCTATAGGGTTATCGAAGAGATTCTCTGTTGTTGTGCAGGCTGCAGTAGTCAGAGATCAAATTTCCAACGCGTGCGACGACTGATGAGATATTACGCGCCTAAATGTCTGATTTATACCTCGTTTGATTGAACACATAATACAACTATAAAACAATACAGTATTGCTACGTGGCATACTTAAGAAATATAAATATAAATTATATCATATACATAGGTACATCAGCAACTAATTGTAGACTGCCTATTATACGTTATTATTTATTTTATTTAAGCCGTACGATGCAATTATTTACCTGCAATCAGTGCAATCCGTAGTCCGTGCATTCCCTACCTAATCTGTACCTATTGGCTATTTGCACAACTAATTACGCGAATATAATATAATCAGTCGTCTACTCGGGTTTATTATAAGGACTATACAAAAATATCCATGATCGTAGCCCACGCTGCTGGCATAAAAACAAACGTACAAATCGTCTCTTTCTCGACATAATCATATTATTATAGATTTGTGATATTATTGTTGTTATATTATTTAACCATGATTTGGTATTTGGTATAGAATCGTTAAACACACCATATATCGTCCATACCTGCAATTACTTGCAGGGGCGTCATGTTCACGTGGGAGCGGGGTGAGAGTGTCATGGCTCTCCTCCCCCTTTTACCTTATTTATGTTAGTTATAAATTGAAACCAAATAGTTAATTTAGGAACCTTTAACTTTCTAACTTTAGTTAGTGCCCATCATTGCCTGCAGTAGTATATTGCCCACCGCAACAGTGCAACGTGAAACCAATGCAAAAAATTTGAGCCGGGAAAAACTAAACGTAGCTTACAAAATAATAATATAATTAGTGACGTATTCGGTGTAAGCTTGAGCTGTATTTCTTAATTGGCGATACACACATGAACCTCATATAACTTTACAGAGGCTTCAACTCATAATACTTGACACTTGTAATAGTATACTAATAAATAATAATACACTATCTACACTATTTGTGTTTGCGTCTGCGATAAAGGACGGTAACAAATTCCAAATAATAAGTAGTAATAATAATTATCGTTTATTTTATATTACGCCTTCAAAGTGATCCTAGTATCCTACACGTGGACTTTTGGGAGGCTATATTGTGGCATGAACGTAACATTTTTATTTTGATGAATCTGAAAACTACGACAGCGAATTTCTACGAGTTGAAAAAATATAAGCGAATAAGTTTGACGTTATTATTCATTATTATTTTTCAAACAAATAATAAAAAAATCTACGTCAGATCTTAAGCGTTTAAAAACACGCTTTGAACATAAAAATAAATATTTCTTCGAGCTCCACAACGCACGCATAACAAAAATTAATGAGACATTATTAATTTTGAAAGAAGACGATTAGCAATACCGACTGCCGTGGTCACGGCGCGGTGTTTAAAATAAAATAAGTTTTGAATAGATTGCCAAAACAAAACAGAAAATGAGCTTGGCATTGTTCCAACAAGATGCGTTAGACAATCAAAAAAACCACGCTAACCACATTCAAAAAAAGTGTGTTGGTACCTATTTTTGACTGTGTGAAATAATACTTACGTAGGAAAACGTTACCAGGTGTCAAGTTTGTAGACATTATTAGTAATTAAAGTAAATAAGTAAATTCAAACCACTAGCATTTCATGGCATTCAAGTGCATTACAAATATAGGTACTCATCGTTTCTTCAATTGACATTAACCAATATCGCGGGAAATCCAAATAATAAGCAGTTGAGTTAGATATATTTTAAAAATAGTTTCTTATAATTACATTATAAGATTTATCTAAAAAATAATAAATAAATAACTTACTACCTACAGTAATAATTTAATATATTGTACCGGTTGCAAAAAAAAAATTATAATAATTAAGATAAAACTATAGCAAATTTAAAGAAAAATAATGCATATATGTAAGTATGAGTAGTTTGTGTAACAGACTACATAAAGTACCTAGATTAGTAAATTTAAAATCTATTAATAACAATTTTAACTGGAAATTTTGTATACTACTTAACAAAACATAAAAAAAAATGAATATTATACAATGATAAACATCTAGAAACAAAATTGTAATACTATATTAAAAATGTAAAAGCAAAGTCACTATTTCCTTAGTTTTCCGTTTGTATGAATGTAACTAACTTGGTTGGTTTTATGATCACCTATATTTAGATCTTCGTCTGGTCCTAAAAAAAATGTATAAAAGTTGCTACAACTATATTATCTTAAATAAAAATCTAATACTGCCTAATTTCACATACCTAAAACAACTAAATTTTACTCCTAAACAATCTCTAGTAAAATGAAAATTACCTTTCAAGTAGTGACAAAAATTTTTTGATTTGTCCCAATCTTCAACAAGTGACAAGTTAAACATGGAATAAGCTGCGTTTCCAGTAACCTCCGCTTCAATGTCTAGGAATTTTGGTAAACGATCAAGCAGCTCTTGGTCCTCAAGAGCAGAATATGTCTCAAGTAACACTAACCCTTCACACCTAATAACAGATAAAAAAATTAAATTTACTATTGATAAAAAAACAACACAAGAATACAGGATATCCAGTGAAAATATAAAGAAGTTTTTAAAGTCATTAGTCACAAACCTTTTATGACAAGGTTTACAATAAATGTCCAGTTGGAAATACTGATTATAGTGTATAAAACATCGCCTTTTTTTATAGATTGGATAGTGGGTTTCATCTTTTTGAGACAACAGATTCACATAGTCCCTGTGACTTAGCTGTGTTTTTACTTCTATTACTTGGCCACGGACCCGAGGCCTACGAATCGTATGTGTATAATTCCAATGACCTATAAACAAGCAAAATTTAAGTCATAGTTAGAGATGTTGTGTAAGTATAGATGGATAAAAAACCTTTTTGTCCTCGTTTTCGTAAGCGAGCTTGCATATTTTTAGTGTATGTCTGCAAGTAATTGTGTACGACATCAAAATCTTGAAATGGAGGGAACAACTGATCATTAGGCAGATACTTCACTAACCATTTACGTTTTTTCGAGTTTGTAGCTAATCGATCACCAGTGTCTAGGCCCAATTTCTGACAAACAGCCTTATAAAATATAAATAAAAGAATAAAAATATACTCAGGGACCATCAATAATTAATTTAATGTAAATATTTACAGCTATCATTCTGCATATTTTATTTTCAAAATCTGATGAATTATCAATGACATCAAAATATGGGTGTCCAATCCATGATGCTGACGCTTTAACATCTAGACTTTTAGCGAGAGACACGTCCTCTCTCCTGCTAGTATGATCCTGAAATAGATATTAAATTTATTTATTTTAAACATTATGTAAGAGTTTATTACGTTTTTACCTCGGTCGTATAAAAGTCTTCAGCCCCACATGCAGCAGACACCATGTGAATTATTTGATTGTAACGATTGTCTCTCAAATCAACCATGTTCAAACCGTTTTCTTTCATTATCAGATCCCATTTATTAGTAGGTATATCTATAAAAATAAATGGTTAATTGTTCTATATTGTTTATTTCAAACAATTGTACAAGTGTTGAGGAAAAAGAGTAATGTTTTCACTTTTTGGGCTATTCTAATGACATATTTTACGGTCTACTAATTTTTAACTATCTAGAACATTTACCTACATGCGACCAAAAAAAAAAAAAAAAACAGAATCACATGTATAAATATTTTTTTGTACTTTTAACAATTGAATAATGCAATGTAATATTTTATCATGAACTTATTGAATTAGTCGAACAATACAAAACTAATTATCTGCAAATATAAACTGTTTCACTGATCAAAAATAAAAAAAAGCAATTGAAAATATAATCTATAAAACCTATAATAATTTCATTAAATAGCAATATTGCTGTTGATAAATGATTATTATAAAAATAATTAAAAATATATTCCCTCCCTCATCTCACAATCTAAAATATCAAATAACTTTTGAAAAATATAAAAAGTCTTTACCGGATGTTATGATTTAAAATCATGTATTAAGAACAATTTGAAGTATTAAGATTACCAGAATGTAAACAATAGTATACCACTATACCACACATGTACATGTTTTATATTTTATAAATCATCAATAACATGACATACATAATACTATTACAGAATTGTCACATTTACTCAATTTATTGTGTTAAAAATAAAAAATAAAACAATGCAATTTTTTTTTTGATTTGTGTATCTGATAAAATAATTTAAATAATATTATTAATATTTAAAAAATATTATTTGATAATTTAAATTGTTTGAGTTTTTATAAATCTATTGAATCTTATCTCTTTTGTTTTAATAATAATAACCATACTTCTAGTCGCCAACACTATTTTATGCTTTTTATTTATATTTATAATATCATAATATAAATAATTTTTGTATTACATGCGGCAGCATCCATAGCACCTCTGTCACAAATGATTAGACAGTCTTGGTCACATGATTCCCCCAGTTCAAAAAACGTATTTTCTATTTGTAACATACATCTGAGAAGGTTCTCTTGAAATTTATGGGCTGTAACAGAAAGCAAAAATAATATTATGAGGCTAATGACAATAATTTCCAAGGACATGACATGTCTAAATAGCATCAAGCTTAACCGCATAGTCTCATCATTCCATCGGTATGCATTACCCCCTCCCCCCATGACTTGATAATTTGTGAGGCTTTTAAAATCAATATTAATATACGAAAAGTAACATGAGACTATTTCAAAGGGGGTGTAATACAAATATTATATGCGATTATAATAGAAATATATTATATCACATTGCGAATTTATGATGACCTACTAAGCTAGATTGAAATGCAGCTTAGGGATTGCTAAATAATTCATGGTCGCAATAAAGGAGGTGTGTTAATTTTATTGCTGCATTGGAATAACAATTTAAAAACAGACGAAATACGACGTACCTATACGGCATAATAAGCAATAGGGCGAAAATAAAAACAGTCATGCCCAGTGTAAAAAACACACCATTATGACTGAACTTGATGGTTGGCCAAAAAAAACCGTTTTTTATCCTCACATTAAAGGATACAATTGAAACTCACGTATAGCGTGACTAAGACAGATAAACGATCATTTATAATTATTTCGAAATGTATTACCTTCGTCGTCGCTTAATTCTGAAAATTTGATACCTCCACTGTAAAAAAAAGAAAAATTTTAGGTAAATATTTAAACCAATCATATATACCTAATTTTACTCTTACTACACAATTTTAACTATTCAGATGCATCAGGTTAAGCACAAAGTTAAGCAATATTTTTAAATTTAACCGATTTTAAGGTTTTATAGTATTGTAAATAAATAATTATTCGTAATATTTTATTTTATTTTAATCTATAAATGATAATGGTGTAAATTTTACTTTATTTATTTTAAATCACACCTCTGGTAAATGTTAACACAAGACGTTTGTGAAATAAATGGAAGATAAAATGTTAAGATTTAATTTATCATTAAATAAAAATAATCATAGAAATTCTATAAACTGATACTTGTAACCAATTTTGGACTAATTTGAAGTCACTTTGATTTAAAAATTATTTTGACAAATTATAAAAACGATGATAAATACCATCAAATATTTGACAGTTAAATTTGTAATGTAAACTCGTATATAGTACCACACTCGTTGCTCGTATATAGTATACACTCGCACCTTTAAATTAATGTAAATGAATCATTAAAATTGAAAAAAAATATTTTGTCACTCTTAGGTATAAATATTATTACCTTAATAGAACATTAGCAGTCTCTGGAACTCTGTAAACCTAAAATATATCAAAATTCAACAAGAAATTTTAGAAAGGAAATAATAGTTTTAATATTTACCTTCCATCCTAAATTCTCAAAGAATGTACATAATCGTGACTGTCCCGTTGTCTTGCCACCACAAGGGCCTAAATTTAACAAATTACACAAGTGTTATATTTTTCAAAATTAAAAAATTAATGCTAACATTTACATTTTAATAGAGTATATTACTAGTTTTGTAACAGTGATGAATTATTCAAATTATAGATAACCCAATAAATTATGATAGTGAAATTTATCGAATAACATTGTTATCGACAGCAAACAATACTAATCAATTTGCATTTTTAAAGACTACAATACGCCTGAGAGTATAATTTAATTAGGTAACGTATACCGTATTTGTTTCTTTATGGTATCACAAAAAAGAATCGACTTAAAAAAAATCTGTAACATTAAAATGTATACTAAAATATAAATACATGGTACCTACATCGTTATATTATATTAAATATATGTTTATTGTTTATATTACTCATTTTGGGAGATTGTGAAACATTGATTAATGTATAATTTTACTATAAATCTATCAAACACGAGGATTTAACTAAAATTAGTAGAATATAACTAAACTAAAACAATATAAGTCACTATTAGGTTGATATATTCATTAAATATTAACATTAGAAACTGAATATAATTATGTTTTGTTAATAAAAAAATAATTGTGTAAGTTTGTATAAAAAGAGACAAAAGCATTTGTTTGTATTTTTAAATATATACATTATAACGATGGTATTATACAATTACAATGGTATATTTTTGGTCATTCATGCACGTTGGAAAAAAAATAAAAATAATGAACGAGAATATTTAAATATATGAATTATGAAGCACACGCATGATTTATGATCATGACAATAATTGTGCAAGTGTATCTGTTAGTCAGTAAGGTAGGTTACAACTTACTCGTATAAGTATATTTGCCATTACTTTACCTTTGTGTGATAACTACAGAAATAATTTACGACAAACCTTGAAATATATTAAGCACAAATATACAATAATTATGAAGCCAACAGGTTCAAAATTTAAATATTTACTTTAAATTGTATTAAGTTGTGACATGCACAATAATTATTAATAACGAAACGTATTATATTATGTAGATATTTAGTAGGTAAGAAATAGAAATTCGTTTTTTAATTTGAGCAGGTAAGCACCTATTATTGCTAATAATATTATAACAGGAGAAAATATTTAAAATTTTAAAATAAAAAATATTAATTAAGACTTTTAAGAAGCAACTAATTAAGTATTTTTATAAGATACGATTATAAAGTACGTACAAGGTACAACTTTTAAACAAATTCTACTGCTATACCTTGACTATTTTGATGAGCATTTCATAATTGTATCAGCAATTTCGGATTTTACAAAAATATTTAATTATTGAATTAAGTAGTTAAGTAATAACTATAGTGAATATTTTTGGTTGATAGTTTAACAAAAATTGTACATTATTACGAAAAATAATACGATTAAATTAATCATGAAAAAAGGATACAATAGAACAAAGCAAGAGAGATGAAATCTGAAGATAAATATTGCAATCAATAATTAAGGTTAAAAAAGCGTAATCACAAAAAGTATAAATAGCGTATGATTATAATTATATTATAAGTAAGACTTAAGACTTTAAATTACTAGGTATGTCAAGTACTATTTTTAAACTAGACATTATAATTTCCAAAACAAATAAGTACTTTTTGTTAAGTTTTGATTCAATAAGTAAAAATGTATTTTTTGTTTTGTTAGATGAATTGAGTATTCATATCAATACCACATTAATAACCTTTGGAACCTTCACGCAGCCTTTTCGAAATAAATGTGTTTTATTTAAAATACTGTTAATTGATTCAAGGTATAAAGAATCTATATTTACTAATTAGTTAATAAATTAAAGTGAATAATATAACAAAACTTATTTAATTGATATATTAAGTTTAATTTAATATTATATTAAATAGGGGAACTAAGTAATTGTTGGATTGTATTAAATTTAAGCCAATAAAATATTCTGAAATAAGATTCTAATTAAATAATAGAGTACGTAGGTAATTTGAATAATTATCATAATAATTAAAATACAGTTAATACAATTTTTAAATAATTGATTGGTAGGTATTCTTAAATTATTTCGGTTTGGGCAATAAATAATTTGTTGTATTCAATGCAACAAAGTTTTCCTATCCATATTTATATATAACATATTTTCTCATAAATTACAATTCATAATAATAATATTATTATTAGAATCACAAAGTTTATGACACAAAGCAACCACAAAACAGATTCAAATTAGTAGACCGTTTGATGTGTTTGAATTTAATTATAACTATTATGTAACGTAGTATTGAATGTACCAATATAAAAATATTTTTTTTTTTCAACGGAGCTATCGTCTATAATCAAGTTATATTAATTTGAACGTAAAAATGAAAAACAACTATAATTATTGCATTACGTTTTTAAAAAACGAGCAGAGATAACTATATACTATACGCGTGACAGATGTATTATACGTAAACTGTAAGGCCGATAAAAAACAAAAACAATCAGGCTAATGACCATAGATGAATCCTTAGCTCAAAAAAAAATAAAAAATATCATTATAGTGAAAAATAAATCGATAACATAATTATTAAAGGTCGTTAGGTATAAAAAAAAACACAAGGTCGAAATTTAGACGTCGTACCAATTATAATAATATTGGTTTGTTTACAAAAAATATTTTGAATAAATATGAATAAAGCTATTCCTAATTTTTTGTTTTTTTTTACACTTGTAAAAATTTATTACAAGACGATGTGATTAGATTATTAATATGACATATGGATGCACACGGTCATGTATGTTTAATTAGTAATTACCATTTAATTGTTTTAATAGTCCCTCAACCTACCAGTACTAACGTAGACATACGTATAAACTTATTCAGAGTGTATGAGTTTTTTTTTCAATGCCACGTGAATTGTGCATACATTTTTACGACACTTTTTAAATAATTGATCTGAATTCAAAATTGTAAATATTTACGTAATAAAAATATTGATAATTTGGGTTAGTCATCGGCATTGTAAATGACACATAAAGAGAGCTACCATTCTATTATATTATTTGTACAGATACTTGAATTATAAAACTATAGCATACTACCAAAATTAAACACTTGTTGAAATAAAAATACATACATTTGAAAAATGAATATTTATCAGGGACTAATGACTAACAAAGTTAAGAGCGGACAATGTATATGTACATGAAGTAGTAAATTAATTTTAGAGAAGTAGAAAAATTATAATATATAATGCTACTATATGTTAACATTATTCATATATTATGTTAAAATAAATAATAATAACCGATGGACTATAGCTATCATAATATACATATTCTTTAAAGCACGTATCATAATTTTAAGTTATAATGACTGATAATTTTAATTTTAATGGTCTTTAATTTGTATACGTAGATACCTAATGTAACATAATAAATATTAAATATAAAGTAATAGACGATATAAATGATGATGATGATCTTCAAAACGAACCGTACAATATATTATAGTATATATAACATTATATACTATACACCCAGAATATATGTTAACACCCATATGATACTGAAATATATTTTTCTAGTAACATACTTTAAGTAGATACGTGTAGGATATGTTGTGCATACACTTATTACAACCAGTTTATTTGTTATTGATATGCTTTAGCATGAGCCACTATATTAGCAGTTAATGGTTAATAGTTAATAGTTTATTGACTTTATTTTAAAATTTTAATCCTAATTCGCGGCGTTTCAGATAGGCAAACTACAATGTGTTATTGCATTTTTAAGTTTATAATATTATGATTATTATGTTGATAAACATTATAATGATGAGCACTGACCTATTATTATAACTATTTTTTTTTGTTCTGTTGAATGTTAATTAATTATAAAACTGAATTCCTTGAATTATCTTATATGTAGGTTACCAAGTAGTTACTTTATACCTATATCGGAAATCGTATTGCTTTTGCTAAGGTAGTTACTTGTTATTGGAACAATTAAATATTTATTGTTAAATAACTATTTTTCTTCTTGGTTAAAAAAATGGTACACTGTAGTTTGGTCGATATAAATATCCAATGATATGGTGGTACAGGTATTAATTTAATATTGCGGCTTATAGTCAATCCTTCTACAGAATTCAAACTGATTGAACATTGGTACAGATGAAGCATATCGTATACATTATATAACACAATATTATCAACAGGTGTAAATAACTACATAGTTTTACAATAATACAAATTAGAATTCAAATAAAATTGTATAAACTGAATTAGTATTTGCATTAATAATTCAGTTATTCCAACAATATGGACAGTTCACATTATACGACACTAATAAATATTCATTTTCATGTGTACCGCATTTAAAATGTCATTAAAGAGTAATTGATTTCATTTCTTTTTGTCAAATAAATAAGAAGATAAAAGCTTATTACAAAAATAGAAAAGTAACGTAAATTAAGAATGTAAAGGTACAATGAAACATTTTAATCAATATTTAACATTGCTAGTGGTTTTTGTAGCAAATCTGAACTAGCTGGTATTTTAGGGGTTAAACGTAATCTAATCCTAGTAATCTATTTAATATTTAGGAAAACTAAAAAAAAAATATCGGGAAAACGAGAATAATTAAACATCAGAAGTTTTTGCTGTTACAGAAACCGATGTAACATATATGTAAAAAATGATCAGCTTTTGATAAAATCAATTTTAGATTCTCAGAGCAAGAATGAATATAAGTAATGATTTTAATATGTGAGTTAAAATATATTCAACCAACCGTAGTACTTATAGAAAATGGCACTTTTTGCTCTTTTTCATATATAACACAAAAGTTAAGATTGTTTAATCACGGAATATGGAAACAATAATCACAAAAAAATCATTTTTCAAAAATCCATATAACTAATAAATTTTAAAAATGGATACTAAAAGGACTATAAACTATAATGGACAGCTAGATTATTTTTTCCTTATACCAATGGTGATAAATATATTTATATACATCCACCTTG